GCAGGGGGCAGGGTCTCTCCCTCACTGCTCAGGCTTCCTGAGATCTCCTGGGCTAGACCCTGAGTGGGGTTTGGGATGCCCAAGGAGCTTAGCTCTGTGAAGGAGTTTCTCTCCAGGGGAGGTTCTGGGTCAGGACCCAGGCGGGTCCCCTCAGCTAATGGCTGAGACTTTTGCACTACTCCAAGAGGCATCAGAGGACCCCGTGTGAATGAGGTCCCCCAGTGGAAAGCACCTGGCTACTCCATCATCTGGCCAGAGCCTGCAGCTTGACCCTGGCTCCCCAAAGTGGGTCTCAGTCGGGGTCCATAGAAGATAGCCAGTTGCCCCACTCTTACCCCAACAACCCTTCTCTGAGCTTCGACTTGTAACATCATCAGTGTCCAGGCTCAGGCCTGGCCCTGGCTCCTGGGTAAAGAGCCACTGTACTATTATTGCTGGCTAGGGAGCAGGAAGGGGAAACTATCTTTGCCACTTAAAGCACCAATAAGTTAATATAAATAGGTTATTATAATAAATAGACACTCATTCTGAGCCAAACACACAGCACTCTCAAATCCCAGACTCTCCTGAGACCCTGACCTCAAGTTCTGCTGCCCCCTTGTCTCGGGACCAGAGACCACCTCAGGTACCCTTGACTACTTTCCTGTGACCTCACCAAGTTTCCATCGCCTTGGCTGTCAGCTGCCACTTTGAAGTACTCCATCCCCACATCCTTATAGGTCCTTGCGCAGAAGAAGGGCTCGGGGTCCATCTCAGCCCCCTCACTTGACTTTGCAGCCTATCCCTGCTCCTGCCACGTCCACTGACCCTCTGCCAGCCCGGCAGCAAACCCCTGCCGTCTCAGGCTTCGGGGAAGCCTGGCGGGAAGAGGAAGTATCACTTCAGGCCGTGGAAAAGTCTGAACAGGTTTCCTTTCCAGGCCCAAGGTGGCTCTCCATGTCCCCCAAGAACCCTTGCAGCCTGAATGCCAGTGGCCTCTTTCTGAAACCTTCAGCTCAGCAGGTCTGGGTTCTCCAACCATCCCCATGAGAAGGCAGCATCCCATCCCAGAGCTGCCTTCTCTGCCTGCCACATGCCACGCACACACCTCTAGGAGCCAGGAGGTCCCTGGGATTCCAGCCTCCAAAGTCTCCCTCAAAGGAAGCTGATGATAGGAGGTCTGCAAGGCAGGCAATGCCCTTACCCCGGCGGCTCTCCTGCTCTGGTGCCAGGGCCTGCAAAGACAGCTTGTCTGCTCACTATAAAAACCTACCCACCCACCCCTGCTGCCTCCCCCAAGGGTCAGGTCTGGGCAGAAATCCAGCTCCTGCTCTCCTCACCAGCCTGACCCCTTGGGGCTCGGTCACCGGTTTCCAAAGGGGCAGTCTTGAGGCCCTACCTGCGGATGTTTGGACCCTGTCCGGCTTCATCCCAGCCCACCCTGGTGTGCAGAGGACTGGCAGAGAGCCCCTCAAGGTCTGCCAGCAAGTTCCCCTTGAGTCCAGCCACAACCCCCTGCCACCCCGGGGGAGCCCCCCTCCCCGACATCTGGAGCCCGTTGTCCAGATCCCTCGGTCCACAGCACACGTCGCAAGCCGGGGCTAGAAAGCCTGGGCCAACTCGGCGATGACCTGCTTGTACTTCCCCAGCATCTGGCAGCCCAGCTTCTTCTTCTGGAAGGACTCCTTGCCTGAGGTGTCGGGGCCGTAGGACACGTCCACGTGGCCCACGTGGTACTTGTTACACAGGTGGCAGAACACGTTGCTGAGGAGCCCCCGCAGGGTGTCCGCCGTGGCGTTGAGCTTGCTGTGGAGGTCCTGGGCGTTGGGGTTGAGAGCCTTCTGGTCCCTGGTGATGTTGCCCAAAGAGGCACCCAGGTAGGCGACGATGCGGTAGAGTTCCACCAGCTTGTCCTTCTCCATGCCGTCAGCGTGGAAGGGCGGAAAGTCTGTCACGTTGGGGCCACACAGCCTGTCCAAGCGGCGGGGGAACGGCTCGCCCTGGGCCTTGTACTGAGGAGCAGAAGGGAGAAGGCAGGTGAGCCAGGAGGCAGGGATCCGGGTTCCAGCCCTGCCAGCTATCCTCGGGCAAAGCTCTTCTTGGGCGTTCACTTCTCCACCTCTCAAATGGGGTCCCCTCTGGACCCCATTGGCATCTCAGGGTCCTTGTGAGACATCTGTCGGGCAAGGACTACGCGTGCTATGCCCTATGAGGTGCCCCTGGATAGTTAAACAGTTCATGTGTGTGGCTGCTAACGGATAGTTTGGGAATTTGCGTCTACCCAAAACTAAAAACAAACAAACAACAAACTCATTGCCATTGAGTCGACGCCCACCCAAAGTGACCCTAGGGGACAGGGAGGGACTCCCTTGTGAGGTGCTGAGACTATTATGTAACTCTTCATGAAAGTAGAAAGCCCGTCTTTCTCCCACGGAGCCACTGGTAGTTTCAAACTGCTGACCGCTACACTACAGGGGCTCCTCCGAGCCCACCCAAAGGTGCTTCGAGAGAAAGACCTGGTGATCAGGGTAACAAGAACATCAGCATCGCAAGCCCTATGGGAGACCGATGACCCTGACAGACCTGGGGCCCAAAAGAGTCGGAAGCAGCTTTTTAAAGGATCCTGGCCCTATAGAGAAAGGAAGACAGCCCGGGGCCTCCCCTTCCGAGCTGCACCACACACCCTTGGCCTTGCACCCACCTGGGCATCTCTCTGCACCCTGACACCCATTGCCCACTCTTGGACCAAAGGCATCTCTCTGAACACCTTCCCACCTTGTCCCTCCTTTGGGTATCTGTGTCTGCCTCTCAGTCCACGTGGTGGAGGAATCCCAAGACCTGAAGCGCCAAGCCCCATACTTTCTCACCCCGTTCTCACCCCGGCTCTGCCCGGACCTACCCCTGGGCTGCAGGTAGGTGTGGGGAAATCTGGGTGGGGCTTAGCCAGCCCCCTTTCTCTCCTCCCAGATACAAAACTGCTCCCTCCCTCCCCAGTTCCCAGCCCATGCCAGGACAGCCTCTTCCTGATATCAGTAGGAATTCTGCCCACTGTGCCTGCCCCCTCTTCCCTCGGCCTCTGGGAGTGGGAAGGGCACTTACATAGAGGGTGAAGAGGGCGTTGGCACTACTGTTGAGCTGCATCAGTTGGCTCCTGATCTGGGTCATGAGGTTGCTGGGACATGGGTGTCGTGTGATGCAGGTGGCCTTGTTGGGAGTGATGAGAAGGGGGTTCCCTGCCCCAGGTCTCCAGTGCAGAACAAGCAGCAGTGACAGGAATCCTGGGGGCCGGCAGAAAGCCACCATGAGCCGGAAGGCAGGGACAGCAGTTTGAGGCCCAGGTCACACTGTGTCCCCACAGACAGCTCGATCTATATCTCCCTCTTGCGCTGTCACCCTGTTCTCCTGGCCCTCTGACCCTACTGGAAGAGGAGGTGTCTGCTGTCCATCTCCTGCGGGGCTCCCATGGGAACCACTGTGGGGCAGATCCTTCTCCCTCTGGAATCTGACACCTGATTCTGGCTCTCCAGGAAAATTGTCCCCCCAGTTTCCCATCTCCTGCATCTCTGCCCTTCCCCAGATGAGGCCAACTTCCCTGCTTTGGAGGGTGCTCTTAGCTACCCTCCAGCCAAATCCCACTCGTGCCACCCACGATGCCTCTGCTTGGGTTCGAACCTCAAACCCTTGGGCTAGTGACTTGCCCGGTTGCCACCACCCTGTCCCCTCCCCCAGGGGGGCCCATACTGTCCTACCTAAGACCCTCAGTTCAATCCGGATTCTGTAACTCTGTCCCCAATTCCTTCCCGAATCATCATGAAAACTCCCTGTCCTTCAATTCTGCTCTGCCCCAGGGGGCAGTCAAGGGGTTCCACCACCCTCCAGGGCTGGGGCAGTGCAGGGAGGAGGTTAGGGAGGGAGAGGAAACGGTGGAACCAGGAAGCAGAAAGGGTGGGCAGAGAGGAGGGAGAATGCAAAGTGACAGGAGAGCTGGGAGCCTTCCCGGTCCGCCCCTCCCCTGTCGTCCTCCCCGAGCCCGCCCCCCTCACTCTTTCCATCTGGGGAGCACCCATACAGTTGGGGCTGGGGGGGTGGGGGCAGCAGGCCAGCGAGGCAGGAGCCTCCCGCCGGATCCCCCTGCTGGAACCGGAGTGCCAGTGGCAAGGCCAAGTACACACATTTTTCCACGGGGTCCCCCCCGGTATGTCCCGGCATCCACAGGCGGTGCTGAGGCCCCACGGGGGCCAGGGAGGGGTCCCCGCGCCCCATCTCACCTAGCACAGAGCTCAGGCTTTCCAGGTACTAGCGATGGAGGCGACACCTGCTCCCGTCCGGGGCCCGGAGTTTGCAAGCCGCTCGGGAGGCCTGCGCCCCTCCCAGGGAGCAGCCCGGCAGCGGTTGGAAAAGAGAAAGCGGAAAAGGACGAGAAAGAGAGAGAGAGAAAGAGGGAGGGTGACTCGGACCGAAAGCCGGGAGAGGAGCTCCGGGAGCGGAGCGGGAGCGGGCGCGGGCAGGCTGCTCCGGCGCCTTCCTCCCTCCGTGGGCAACCTGCTGGCCGGCCGGCACGCCGTGCCCGGACCATGTGCCGCGCCCGCTCGGGCCGCCACCCAGCGCCTCGCCTGGCCGCGGCCGCCCGAGCAGCGGCTTCCCCGGCGCAGGGCAGGGTGGCGGGGGCGCGGCGAGTGGGTGCCCCGGCGAGGGCGCGCGTCCAGCCGGCGGAAGCCCGAGCCGGGCGGTCGGGCGGCCGGGGCGGGCGCGGGGGTTTACCTGCCGCCAAGGCCTTCATTCTGAGCCGGGCTGCAGAGGTACTGGGAGCCCTGGGACGCCGTCACTTTTCAGAGGTTCATGCTCAAACGGGGAATTTGTCTGATTTATATACCGGAGCCTGTGTTGTAAGACAGAAACAGCTATATTTAGCCGGGATCCCCTTCCAGGAAGTTGTTTGAGGTGCATCATAGGAAATTATGAATGAAAGTGAGAGTGAAGGGGGGGGGCCGAGGGAGGGGAAGGGGGAGGGCAGACTTTTCCCCTCTTCTAAGAATTTGATTGATAAAATTATAAAGAGGTCTTCGACCGAATGTCCTGTGGTTTCCCTCAGTGGCTTGCCCTTGGGGTTGTTTGAAGATGTGGGGGAGGGTGGGGGGACGACCGGCTGAGTCAGCAGGGTCCCATGTGGACAGGCCTCCGGTGCCCTAGATGTGGCCCTGACTCACCTGGGCAAGTAGAGGAGCTGGCACCTGTAGCCCCTGGGCAGAGGCTTTAGGGGGCAGTGGGGAGGAGGCCGGCTGAAGCCAGCTGAGAAGCAGGCTCCCAGGAAAGAGGGGCTGGGGCTAGGCGTGGACTTTAGACAGTAATAAAGCAAACTGAATGTGGGTGCTAGAAGCCACCCGGGAGGTGGCCTCTTCTAACCTGCCCGTTTCCACAGGGCAGAGTCAGGCCCTGAAGAAACGGGCTGCCCAGGGCCCCTGCAGGCTCAGGCCCCTAAGCCCCCATCAGTACACCTGCTCTGTGACTCCCTGTGATGCTGAGGACAGAGGATCGGGCAGAGCCGCTAGGCCTCAGTCCTTTGGGGACAGCCTGGGGAGGACTTCAGGGAAGTCTTTTGGTGGGGTGGGGTGGGGGGGACTCTTGGCTCTTTGCAGCTCCATCTTCCATTTTGGTGGAAGGTGGTGGGTGGAGCAGGTCCATTCTGAAAGGGACACCTGAGCGTGGGGCCTAGTCTCACTCTCCAAGTCAGTCCCAAGTCCCCTCCGTGGGGCGCAGAGGGACTGTCGCCCGAGGAATGCTGGGGACTAGCACCAGCCCTCCCTAGGTGGGGCTCAGTCTCAGAGAGGGATGGTGGTCCCCAGACCCAGGTGCTTCCAGAGGCTCTGGCACCAACCGACTGACTGACTGACTGACTGACCGACCGAATCATAAAGGCAGGTGCTTTTCGGGGGCCGGCAAAATCAGCGCAGACTCCTCCCTAATCTCTACACACCAAAAAATACCCCAGACCCATGGATTGCAGTCAAGTTGCAGCTGACTCGCGGTGACAACCTGTGTTACGGAGGACCTGGGCTCCTGGGGGGTTCTCCTGGCTGGAGTCTGGTGGAAGCAGGCTGCCAGGCCTTTCTTCCACCGGACCAAGTGGCCAGCCTTTAGGTTAGTGGCCAAGCGCACATCCTGGACGTTGTCCAGGGATCTCCTCCCCAGGTAGATGCCAGAACAATCATAGAAGGGGTAGGGCCTTGCTGAGCAGGGCAGCACATGTCTGAGAGCCCCCTGCCTCTCCGTCCCCTTTGTTTTCCCAGGTGCTGATGGGGGCACCTCCTCCACCCCCCACCCCCCACCCTGGAAGTGCCTCACTTCCCAGGGGCCCTGCCCTACTCCTGATTTCTGCGGGAGAGGAAGACCTTTCCCTAGGGGTTATCCCCCATCACCCCCCACCCCCCACTCCCATGCCCACTCCCGCCTTCCATGCCCCCAGTTCCCACCTCTCACTGCATCCCAGACCTGCCCAGTCCTTCCCTTATCATGCCAGAAAGAGCCATGTGCTCCTGCTGTCCTGCCCCCCCCCAGACACATGCCACACAGCCCTGCCAGCCCACCGCCCACGCCCACTGCCCCACAGCAAAGCCTCTCCATAGGGTGATAAAACTGCCCATCCCAGCTAGCACCGCCCAGCCGGGAGGAAGTGGGCCAAGCCCACAGGAGTCTTCCCTCCTCTTCCTCCTCCTCCCTGCCTCACACCTTGTCCTTCCTTTGGGGGCTGTGAGGGCCCGGCTGGCCCCTCCCCATCCCACAGACCTGTAATGAGATGGGGGTGCACCCCCTAGAAACACAGTGAGCATCTGCCTTCCTCCCACCAACCCCATCGTGTCTCTGCAACCCTACTCCCCAGGCGCTCCCCACTTCCCTCCCACTTCCCAGACGCGCCCCCCACCCCACCCCTCACCCCCCAGCCTCTCTGCACGAGGACCTGACCATTCGGAGCATAACGTGTAAGATCAGCCTCCAACCACCCCCCAGCTGCTAACAGGAACCCAAAGCCCACTAGACCAGAGTCCTACTGAAGCCCCATCTGGTAAGGTCTCCAGCCCTGGGGAAGGCCCTACCACATCCCATCCCCTTCTTGTGAGTGGACGACAGGGCTGGCTCTGCCCCCTGCTCCAGAAAACCCACATCAGCTCCCTGGTCCACCGCTTCATCGAAGCCCCACCCCACAGTAAAACAGGAAGTGGGGGGGCAGGGTCTTGAAGACGCTGAGCTTGGGCCACTTCACAGCTCTGACTGGCCCCACCGAGGGCCTTGGCCTCCCCTTCACGGTACCTGACGTGGTCCGTGCTCCCCTCGGTGCCCCGGACCCAGCCTCCCCTTCCTGTCATGTCCAGGAGCCCTGTGCTGGGCCTCTGGAGGCAGGCTGGTCAGGGTCTCGGAGCCGTGGGTCCGTGAGCTGCCTGCGACGTGGCTTCGGCCCCTGGGAACAGCCGCCCAGGCCTAGCTCCAAGCCTGCTTTGGTCTCCTGGCGTTTGTTTGCGTCCCTCCCTCCCTCCCTCCACGCTGCAGCGTTCCCCCTGACTCCCCCCTGAGAGGTACCCTCCCTTCTTGGCTGCCTGCTCCTGGGTGGTGACCCCAGGCCCCACCCTGGAGTGGCAGCCCCAGCCCGGCCCCTTCCAGCCATGACTTCATCCTTAGCCTGTCCAGCTCCTGTTGATTGTGTGGGGATGAGACCTGCCTAGGGGTGAGAGGGAGCGCCCCCATTCCCCTTAGCCTGGAGTTGGGGGGCTACCAGTCGGAGGCCCGAGGTTAACGCTCCTGGGTGACTATGCCCCCCAGCACACTGGTCTCCCCGCTGCTCCAGGAAGTGATCACACAAGCTGGCCTGGGCACGCCCCCTAAGAACGTGCTTCACCCACCTGGGTGTGGGGCCGCCCATCTTCCTCCTCTGCCGAGTCTCCCTCGCCATCCACAACTCTCTCCTCAAAGCTGATTTGTTTTCCAGGAAGGGAAACTGAGGCTCGGAGAAGTGAAGGGACTTGTCCGGGGCCACTCAGGGTGCAGAGCAGGGGTAGGTCTGAAAGCCAGGCCTCTGGCCTGCAGGCTGTGGCTTCCAGGAGGAGAGAGGACCCTCCACTTTTCGGGGGTCCCAGCGCCGCCACACAGCGGCCTCATCATGCCCGCTGCTCTTGGCCCAGTGGGGACAAGCCTTATGCCACAACCCTCCAGACCAGCGATTCTCAACCTGTGGGTCTCGACCTCTTTGGGGGGTCAGATGACCCTTTCACAGGGGTCGTCCGATTCATCACAGTAGCAAAATGACAGTGATGGAGTAGCAGCGAAAATAATGTTATGGCTGGTGGGTGGGGTCACCACCACACGAGGACCGGTGTGAAAGGGTGGTGGCGTGAGGAAGGTGGAGAACCGCTGCTCCGGGCCCCTGCAGAGGTCGGATGCTTCTTACTCCTCACACCGTTGGCTCAGGGCAACACCTCAGTAGATGCTGCTTTTAAAGCCGTTTACGACACCCCAAAGCTGCCTGTGCCCAGTCTCTCGTGGCTAGAAGGCAGAGCCGATAGTTTGAGGAGTCATGGTTGAGGTTTGGATCTGCCAAAAAGAACAGGTAACTCTTTGGCCTCGGTTTCCGCATCTATAAAATGGGAATGACAGTCCTAGGTTCTGGGTGTGCTATAAGAGCTCAGCCATGACCGGGACCCCCGGCCGCCCCTCTCCGCGGTAGCACTGGTCCTTGTGACCTCTCTCAGGGGCCTTGTCCCCATTCCTGTCCCCATTTTACAGCTTTATCCCGTGGATCACTCCCACGGCTGGGGGGGTAAGCTGGCCAGGAGAAGAACTTTCCATTCTGTTCTGATGGAGAATGGGGACCCAGAAAGGTCAGACGGGTGTGTGTGGGAGGTGGGCTCTCTCCCCGTGCCCCTGCTGGCCACCCACCCCCAAGCCAGAGCTGAGGCCAGCAGCTGACCCGGCCTGCCGCCCCCAGGAGCTGATTCACCCCCAGGCTCCATCCGAGAAGGAAGGAGACACAGCTCAGTTCAGGGGGCTTTGAATCACCAGCCACCCCCTGTAGAGACCCAGAGGGTGTGGGGGTGGGAGCTGGCCCCCTGCCTGTTTGTCTGTCTCTTTCTGGCCCCAGGGCCAGGCAGGGGAGAATGGACAGGGGGGGGTGGCAGGCGGCACCCTCCCTGCTGGCATCCTGTGTAGACAGCTGGCAGTTACTCACCAGGTAAGCAGCTCTCTGGACAGTGGGGAATTCCCCAAGACTAGTGACCCAGAAACTGAGCTGGTCTCGGGCACCCTCCACTGCCCAGGCTGGCTTTCCCACTCACCCCCACCCCAAGATCCTAATGCTCTGGAACCCCAGCCAGAAGCCCCTCTCGGCCATCCGCTTGTGCCCAGCCCCAACCTTGATATCCCCCGTGGAGAGGAGCTCAAGGCGGGCTGGGAGGCCCTGAGGAGGAAGGTTGAGCCAGGCTGAGTGCCCGTGGCCCAGGACAAGGCTGGTGACGGATGGCCAGAGGAGACCGGGGAGGCAGGGCACTGAGTTCAGAAGTTCCCAGCCCGGCCCGGCAGTAGAGTTTCTGCCCTGAGAGACAAAGCCAACCCAAACCCACTGCTCTCAGTTGATCCTGACTCATAGCACCCAAAGGAGTGGTGGTCCATCTCTCCAAGAGCAGGCTACCTCCCCTTGCTCCTGAGGCACGATGGGTGGAGGGCCCTGTGCCTGACTGTGATCTGAGAGTCTAGACACACTCCCTGGAACTCCTTGGGGCCGGGCTGTGGGTGAATGCCTGCTTC